CCCTGGCTTTTGGGGAATGACAGGCAGAGTGTGGCTGTATGGAAGGGTGGCCAGGATCTGTTCGTGTCACAGGGTCCTATGGAAAACCTGCATTATGTAATGTTCCTCTTATGGACCTTAAAGAAATAAGAGACAGAGTTCCTTATAAAAGATCCCAGTTTCCATGTTCAGAATGAGAGAAAGAGAGAAAGTTTGTTTGAAGTGCATAGGAGGAATTTAGGTTAACTTCATGAAAGAACTGGCAAATCTGGAGGGTTTGTGGGCTACCAAAAAAGCAGAGTCAGCCGACACCTTTGGAGTTTGGAAAGTGGAATAGAGTCAGGGGTATGGAAAAGCTCTGAGCTAGGCGTGCCTGAACCAGGAGACAAAGGAGATTTCGAGAGCCAGACCCCAGCTGTGGAGCAAAGACCCCGACATGAGTGGGAAGCCACTGCTGTCAGACCAGCCAAGCACAGAGTCACTGCAGGCCATGACCTTGAACCAGCCCCTGGGAGCAGGGCATCAGCAGGCCCCTCCTTCGCAGGGGCAGCCAAATTTCATCCCTAAGCCAGGGCTGCTTAGCTACAAAGTTGGATTCTAAGAACTAGACCTCAGGGTCAGAAGCTGAAAGGAGAATTCATGGGAAGAATGGACCGATTTACTCAGATCCTGTATTCTAAACATCATAATGTCTCCTTGATAAGGAATAGGATCAATATAATGAGGATTTCCAGGAAGCTAGACGTATCCAGTTATAAAATTAAATAGAGATATATTTGGGGAGGGGAAGCAGGGAGAACCCAAAGTACAACAAAAACTTAAATAGTGATAGCACTAAGCACAGCTCAGCAAGACTTTCTGTCTGATCAAATGGTGGTGGCTGGGTCTAAAGTAGAAAAACTATCCAGCCACACCTTTCCTGAATAGGCCCTGGGTGATCAGGCAGACAGCAGAGATGCTGACAGCAAGATTGGAGACTCAGGGACTCCGGAGGACCCTGGAGGACAGAGCTGTCACTAACGAGCTGGAGGTGAGACCCAGAGTCTTGAAGGAAGGGGCCAGCATCAGGGTCCAGCGTGGCCGAGATACTCACCCCAAGGGCCACAGGCAGGAATAAAGCCCCAGAATTCGGTCCCCCTGAATCCAAACCCGATTTCCTGAGACTCCTCCTAGCCAGAATCATGAAGACCTGGAGTTGATGGGCAGGCTGGCTGCTGACCATAGGGGCTAAGCTGCCCATCGCTGACTAGGGCAGCACTCCGGGCGTGAGCATGCAGGTGTGCTCTATTCCTAGCATGAGGTGGGCTTGTTCCTTGGGAGTCTTGGCTCCGAGGTCGCTCACAATTCCAACAGGATCTTTGCATTGCAGTGGCATCTTTCTTATCATTAGAATCAAAGTAATGATAACAGCACAGCAGCTCCTCTTTGCCTTTTTACCTCGGTGCTGGGAAGCTCAGAGCCAAATTCCTTTTCTTCCAGTCTCTTACTATTCATTTCTTATTTAACCTCACACAGTTTATCCTAATTGAGCCTGTATTTTGATAATCAAGTCAGACTTTTAGGAATAAAGTAAGGATGAAGAAAAAGTGAATAAAATCTCTCCTACTTATTTCCATCTTGTGTTTTATAATGGGTTTGGAGGAGCCAGGTGTAGGGCTACATAACCAAGCAAATGCTCCTGTGTCTTTTCTTGGTTTGAAATGAAGGTACCCCATGCACAATGACAGAGGCCCTGTGCTCTGCCTTTACCATGGCCTGAGGGCCTGATGTTTGCTGAATCACAGAGCATCTCAGGAAGCATCCAGCAAGTGGAGACCAAGAAAGATGCTCCATGTAATGTTCTCCCGGGGCTTGCAAGCACCGACCTTGCAGGTGAGCCAGCCTTACCTGCACAGGTGAGTCAACTTTGGTGCAGACAGGCGAAGTCTGTGTCTTGAATGGCAGGGGAATAAACTTATCCCAAGTATTAGAGCTCCAACCAAGTGTGGTCTGTGAAACTGGTGAGTCTGATGCCCTCAGACAGGTCCCCAGGGCCCATACAGAATGGAAGTGGCCCTGTAGGTGACCTGACCCCTGCGAGGCAGCAGCACCCACGGGACACCAGAGAATCCAGTCTGGGGGCCCTCTAGCAAGGGCACAGGGCCCAAGGCCAGCCCTGAGCAGCCCCACAGCCACCAGCACGAAGGCCACCTGAGAATTGCTTTTGTCAGTTTCTGGCAACCCCTGTGGGCTGTGCCCAGAAATTTTATTCACTGGGCCTGATGAGCCCAGAGATGCTCATTTTCAGACATTTTCTAGATGACTCATTTGTCTCTCAGACTTGGAAAAACCACAGCCTGGGACAGCTCCCACCCCAGTCCAGGTATCCAGGTCTTATGCACATAAGAAATAAATCTATGGGGAGATTTATATATTCACAGCCACGCACATATGTTCTGCAGCCGTGTGTGTTTATAGGTCTGTCTGTCTGTCTATCAATTGTCTATCTGCCTACCTATGCAGTATAAATACCTCCTATCGGTCCTCTTTCCTCTGGAGAACCTTTATACATTTCCCAGCTCTACAAGTGGCCATTTTCATAATCACTTTGATTTTTCCCACCACCTTCATAAAATAGATCTAATTATATTGCCTTTCCCGGGGAAGGAAAATGTGTTAGGAGACATGATCCTATCCCTCTGAAATGCCCTGTCCTGTCAGATGGGTAAACCACCTGCTCAAAGTGGCGTCAGGGCACTGTCACACCTCTTTCCTGGCATGGATCCCTCCAGCTGTCTTCCCAAGCTGAGGCCCAGCACCAGGTGCCCAGGCTCTCAGCAGCCAGAGATTGCACACCCGTGTCGCGGGGGGTCGTAGAAGCAGGAGTCCAGACGTAAGCCTGCGTTTGCTGTGGCCCCTTGGCTGTGAGGTCGCGACCCTCAGCTCCTCTGTCACTGCTCGCCCCCAAGCTGTACACTCGGCCATCCCAGAAGTGGCCAGAATTAGTTTCTCGACATGATCTATTCCTGAAAGGAACGCTGACCGCTAGTGTGATGTCAGAAGGGAGGAAGCCCAAGAAACATGGTTCTCAGGTGGACGTAAAATCTAATATGGACACATTAAAGTTGTACTGTATTATTTGCACTGAATTATTAAGAGTAAAGGGGTCACTTAAATTTTATGCCTCACTACTTAATGGGGTGGATTTTATGATACAGCACTGTTTGCTGATATAGTGGTTCATTACATTCAAAGGATACTTTCTCAAAATATTATGGGCTTACTCGAACGTTATTTTTCCCCCAGTTTTATAGGTCTGAGATCATGTTTGTGATCCCACTGTGGACAGTCTGAGTCAGAATTTCAGCTTGTAGCTCTGCACAAATTTGCTTTTTATTTTCAGTACTGTAGATCAAACCCAGGGCCTCCCACATGCTCGTCAAGGGCTCCATCACTGAGCTACATCCCCTGTCCAAGCTCATAACTCTGATGTATTTTATAAGATAGCGCTACACTTATTAAGAATCATTAAAACTAAGTTTTTGGAAATATGGGGTGAAGAGATTTGTATTTGTCAGGTGCTATTGTGTGCCATGCAATATGCAGACTTGTCATCTCAGTGGAGTTATACAGTAACCCTATAAGGCCAAAATTATTATCCCAATTTATTAATGAAAAGTTGGAAATGCTTTCTCGGGCCAAGCCCACATTTGGAGGTTAGAGGTAACTCTTTTCCAGTTGATCCCGACATTGATACTCTTCCCACCACATAATTCTGTGCCTGATAAAGTGCTAAGTAGCTGCGTACTTATCACGGTATTTACATGATCACAAATTCCCAGAACCTTTTTACAGTTCATGGAGAGTTGTGTAGCCTCTCCCTAAGGGAACCCAGAATAATAGAGGTTGGAAACAGTTTACCCCATGTCATAAAAACCACTGACATGGGAAACTCAGAGGAAAAATGGCCGCCTTAGCAGAGAAGCAGTGCTGACCTTCCGGTATGGGCTGTGTGTTCAAATGGTGGCAGCGATGTGTTCAGCCTAGAAAACTTTGACCTCTTGATTCTTACATCTTTACTATTAGCCTTTCAGAAAGCATGGTGATTGCAAGTATTCATGTGCTCATTAAGCTCTGAGCTCTTTAAAATGTAAAATAATCCATATTCCCAGACTCCCTCTCCTCTCTCTCTCTTTCTCTCTCTCTCTCTCTCTCTCTCTCTCTCTCTCTCTCTCACACACACACACACACACACACACACACGGCTACATACACTTACATATGCACACTCACACACTGTTTTATGCAGACACACAACGCCCCTCATCAGTTAGTCAATATGGGCAGCCTACAAAGGAATGGAAAGTTATGGAAGCTACATTCTTCTATTTTCTTTAGTTTCCACTGTGCTATATGTGTTCTGTAAACAGCAGGAAAAGTAATTATGAAGGTGAGTATTTGCGACATGATCAACTCTTGGAATATAATATAAGAATGTGCTAAGGCAGGGAAATATTTGCTTGAACCTGTGCCTGGAAACGGAATGTGGTATGAGCTTCCTAGTAATATTAACCTCACATCTGGCTCCTTTTCACATGCAGTACCTGAGTGGGTGGGGTAATACGCACATTCATTTTCCCTTGCGAGGTGTCCAGTGCCTAGCCTGTGTGTGAGGGAGCTCTGTGTGTGAGTGCGTGCGTGCGCGCGAGCATGCATGCAAATTTGACATTCCCTGTTCCAGAGCCTGCCGTTTGCTGAGTTGGAGCATTTACCACTGCAAAGCTGTCACAGGCTTCTTCGAAGCACACATTTACATTCCACAGGTCTAGTAAATGGGCTGCGTGTTTGCGTGACGCCTTTTGTTTAAGAGAAACCCCAGAGGCACTCTATCCTGCACTTTATCTCCTGCTGCACCTCAGACTCGAACTGTGCCAGGTGAAAAGTGAAGCTCAAAGGATTTTTTAGAATCTGCTGCCCCAGCTGGTAACATTCTGGGGTTGGTTCTTTTTGTTGTCGTGTTTTCTGCTCTGTAAAATGTCCAAACCTTCTCGCTCGGCAAGACCTTTCTTTGCTAATGCAGCGTCTAAGCTGCAGTCATCCAGGAAGGATGATTTAAACAGTAAACAGAGAAAAATTAGCTTAAGTGAGAAGATTCTGAGGACTGGGAGCGACGGAAATTTGGTCAAACAGCAGCAGGTGCAGTCGGCGGCAACTCCAGCTCAGCGGAAGTCCTCAGCACACAAAGGTAATGTTTCACCTGGGCTGCCTTTGTCAGCTTCTGCCTGGAAACTTCCTGCTCACTCATACTGCCAGGCGCCTGCAATGAATGAGGCTTTGGCGGATTCCAAACTTCTGTTTGTGGGTGTGAAACAGTTTCCAAAGTCCAATAGTTAGGAAGAGGGAAGTAATAGAAATTTCTATCATTAATTAAGGAACAATATAAGAAAAATGGACTGTTTCCATCTCTCTTTCACAATGACAGATTTTATTCTTGATTGTTTTATGGTATTTCATATTCTAGTCATACTTACACCAAGTTTCTTATTGCTTGTCTATTTGAAAACAAAAGAAAATAACTGTCCTAAAACCACATCATGAACTAGCAACAGGATCTTTCTCTTTTTATCTCTTTTAAAAACGAATTGTGTCTAAAATGTTAATCTAATGATATAGTTCCTTGCCAAGCATGACAGAACTCCCTAGGAGCTGTGTTACCTGCATGTTTAAATAAACCCTCTCAGGTGAATGTTATAATGTTTCACTTATCAAAAATGTTGAATATCTGACCCCTAATTGGGAAATGCAGTAACTAAAAAGAGCTAACTGTTATTTTAGTGTATATAATCACAGAGGACAATTAAATTGTTAGCTGAAAATGTAATAGTAATTTCTTTTATTGATCAAAGAACTACATATTAAATCCCTAAGAAATATTTTATAAGACTTATTTTAATATATTTTGCTTTCTCTACTAAAAATGTAGTATTTGATCGTGTAATTTTATGGTAAAGTAAAAAATTGTTTTAATATTCTCATTCTTCTTATGAGATCTTTGTGTTTTATAAGAAAAAATAAGCTACTTTTATAATTTTAATCTTGGCCTCTTTTCTATGAAAAAGCTATTACAAATGAACATGCAATAATACCACATGTTATATGCGATTTCAACTATGCAAATATCTGTCTGGAAATTTTAGTTTTTCCTTAGCTTTATTATTGTTGTTTTGTTCACTTGATCAATGAAGTATTTGTACAAAAACTGGGACCAAAATACTTCATGAAACGCATATACAAACACTCAAAGACTTTGGAATCATTGTTAGAAGTTGTTGAATAGACTGGATTTTGGCTGCTTAAAAGGCAAACTTTCTTTGACGTGCTAGCATATGAGTCTGAAATGTCAACCACTTCAACCTAAAGAATGTCCAAACATTTTTATGCTAAAAATACCTGTGTTTGTAAAGTGTGCTGGGGGGCAGATTTTTCATACTAATGACCTGAAGTTAGGTGCTTATTCCAAACTATGTTTAAAATGCGGACCTTTGTTTTTGTTTTTGGCACCCTATGAGGCTATCTCTGAATAGAATTTGTGTGTGAAAATAATTTCTTTTTGCAAACACATTGGCTTGGAGATTCATCAAAAGTCACTTGAGGAGCCGGGGATTTGGCTCAGTGGTTTCACCGCCTGCTGCGCAAGAGCAAGGACCCGAGTTCGATCCCTGGTATAAAAATAACAATAATAAATTTTAAAAATACATAAATAAAAGTCACTTGAAACCAAGGGTTATTATCAAAGTGCAAGATCAATATAAATGATGTACATTTTTGTGAAAGGAAAACTGGAGGAAGATTATGAATTAATATGGTAGTGTTTTCTTTGTGATGCTCTAAGGAGCAGAGGAAGAGTCCCACCTACCGCAAGACTTCTGAAAGTGACAGCAATATGGATTATTGGGAAAATGCCGCTAGAATGCGTCTTTGTTTTTATTTTCTAAACAGTTATTTTCATCTCTACCCACCATACATGGTACTAATAGAAACCTTTAATTGTTGGAGAATATGATTAAATTTCTTAATATGATAGCTATTTGTGTTAGGCTTTCACTTAAACTGGTTGTCCAAAGATCAGAAAATTATAGGGTTTGTAATGTAGTGACACAGAGTGCTTGCTGAGGCCCTGGCTTCCATTCCAAGGAGAGAGAGAGGAGAGAGAGAGAGAGAGACAGAGAGAGACAGAGAGACTGCTTTTGCTCTTTATCCCTCTTTATGGCCTGCTCCTGGGGCCTTTTATTTTATTTCATTTTCTTGAAGCACTATCCCAAGAAATTTTCTAAGAAAAGTTAAAAGGAAGGTAACTTTCTGAGTTTTTACATGTTCTCTTTTAACATTTCAGTGAGAGTCTGAATAGGCACAAATCTTTAGTCTGCAGATAATTCTTCCCACATAATGATGAGATTTTTCTTCACTATCTTTTGGGATCTATGAGTGTTGATAAGGAAGCTTGTGTTGCTCACACATTCACACATTCCTCTGTAGGTGATTCTCTCTCTCTCTCTCTGTCTGTCTCTCTCTCTTTCTCCCCCCTCCTTCCCTCCCTCCCTCTCTCTCATTCCAACATCTCCTTTTTATCCTCCAAGTTTTGAAATGTCACTGAAGTATGTAAAACTGTGGGATTTTTCTTCATTTATTTTGACTGGATATTGAATGGGCCCTTTCAATTTGAAAAGTAATGACCTTCAGTTTGGAGTTTTCTTTTCTATTAATTCTTTAATAATTTATTCCTCTGTTTGCTATACTTTTCTCTTTTTTTGAACCGCCTATGATTCTAAAGTCAGATTTTCTAGACTTTATTTTCCAACTTCTGTACTGTCCAGTTTTGATCATCATTATATTTTGAATTTCCAAAGAGTTTTTCTTATTATTATTATTTTGAGACTGAAATATTACTTTTCTATATATAAGCAGTGTATCCCTGTGCTTTATTTTATGCAGTTCTCATGGTGTGTTTCAGCTTGAGGGTAGCAGACACATTTGTTTTATGACATGTGTAAACACATCACCGTGAAGTTGGTGTGTTTTTCATCTGAACAAATGGTTCAGAAGAGCCTGGTAATTCATAATCTATAGGACAACTGCTAATTAAGACCTGTGAAAAACTTTCTTCATAATGAAATCCACCAGGTGGAAGATGAATGTTGAAGGGCGCATTGATGTGAGCCAACAATTTTACCTAAGAGCAGGACGTGGTGCCTGTCCAGGAATGCAGCATGTCTTCCTGAGCTTTCTGGGTTCTCCTGGCTTCTGCTTTGAAACATCCCCCTGATGATTTAACCCACAGTTCGTAATTAATTCTTAAATTTATACCTGCTCCTTATCTGCTCTAAATAATGAAAAGCTTTCTTAGATGTGAACATGAATCTGACAACTTTGGTTTGAAAAAAGAGCTTCCCTCTTTTATGTCTTCATGATGGTGGTGGTGGTGATGGACTCTAACACCCACTGGGGCCCTCTTGTGTGGCCAGCATAGCTCTGAGCTCATTGGAAATACATTGTCGCATGCAGTTCTCCCAACAGTACCAGTTCCGTCTCTATTTTGCAGATGAGGAAACTGAGACAGAAAACTTGAGCTATTTCCCCCAATCATGAAGATGGGGAGAGACAGAACTGGATTTCCAATTTTAGGAGTGTTAACTTCCAACTCTTGCATACTTTACCACTGTGCTAAAACACCTTTTTAAACAAAAATAAATAAATAAATAAAAGAAAAAGAAAATCTGCTCATCAAAGAAATTAATAAAATTAGTCAAACCTTGAGATTGGCTAGTCTGGTCCCTGAAATATTCTGTAATTCAAGATACTTCTGTTTGTAACCCTTTTTGTTTAAAGTCCAATGTTATGCTTCTTACACAAGACAAAGAAGTGAAAAAGAAGGAGAACACGTTTCAGAGTCAGTAGAGTTAGTAAATGTATCACGGTCTGAAGATGCTACTGTAACACTGAGAACAATGAAGGGATACAGAACCTTTGTACTCTAATGCATGACCTGGTGGGCCAAGTACAAGCCTGTGGGCCAAAAATCACTCAAGTCTGCTTCTGTTCTGATGCAAGGCTTTCTCTGTGGCCTTGAGAAAGCAATTATCCTTCCCGACTGAGTTTCATCAGCCATTAAAGAATAATAATATGTGGTTTATGGGCAGAGGTATTGGTGAGCATTAACGACTTAGTTAATGTGTATCTGTTGCTTTCCAGAGCCTGCGCGCTGCATGAATGCCCTATGTAAGTCAAGCGCAATGGGATGGGGTCTCTGTTTACCTCTGGATGCTGTGGAAGTAAAAACTCACTCTCTTTTAGACATCGTGTGTGCACCCACTCCGGGGAGACTCCATTACAAATCCACGGCTGCAAACTCTGAGCTGTTCTTTATGTCCAGCAGGCAAACCGCACATGCATCTCACTTCCCACAGCACATATTATTTGGGATTGCTTTCAAATACCTGCAGGTATTAGGGTGCAACTTCGTTCTGGATACTGCAGTGGCATTAGACCTTTGCACACTGCAGTGACATGGAAGGTAATTACGTCTGAAGATAAGTAATTTCTCCAAAAGGCACACTCTTGGTTCTGTTTTTCCTGTAAAAATCTGATACTACTAAGCACTTATGCACTAGTAGAGCCTTACTTTAGTATTTTCTAGAATCAAGAATGTATTTGTGCTGATTTCTTTTTCTGACTACCGTTGGGGTCAGAACCACTCAATATTTGAGAAAAGCTGATGCCAAGGATACAGCTTTTTTCCTTTTTTTGGTACCGGGGAATCGAACTCTGGACCTTGCACTTGTGAGGCAGGCAGCAGAACCACTGAGCTAAATCCCCAGCCTGATACAGCATTCATTTAACAAAGCAATGGCGATTTATGCTCACAGCTACTAAAATTCACCATTTTGGTTCATTATTGGAACCAGCCACCCTGGAGTCGTGCATTACACATCTGTATGGGCCGCTATATTTCTCTGGATGCTATTGCTAAAATTCATATGGCTTTTAGCCTGTTCAGTTATTTTTCTTTTTTCTTTTCTTTTCTTTTTTTGGTACCAGGGATCGAACTCGGGACCTTGCACTTGCGAGGCAGGCGTGGTGCCACTGAGCTAAATCCCCAGCCCTGTCCAGTTATTTTTCATACAAGAACTAACCACACTTATTGCTACTTAGTAGTATTTCATTCCAGTTTTTCCCGAACTAAATATG